AGGAAATTAAAGCGTATAATTTAAACATTACATTTTGATATTAGCTTAAATCCCAAACATTCAACATGAGCTTTTCCATTGACACATTCAAGATAGGTTCTTTTAGAAGGTTTCAAGCAGTTAAAAGAACAAGAATAAGTCTTGCAATAAGAGAAGAATACCTTAGTATAAAAGTGATGAAAACGCACATGATTTGAACAATTCCACTCGTAAGTGTGGAAAATGGGTGTAAGCATTTGTATGCAATTTTTCTTTATCATCGTTTTTCAAATTCGCTTGAATGGTGTTTCACGCCTTTAGGGAAATCCACGCCTTTTGGGTGCAGAAGAATATATCTTTTTAGACATATTTTATATCCCGGGAAAAAATTGGAGGCAATGGTTGTACGGGAGAAGACTCAAATAGCGTCTGATGCGATTTCAGTCTATTTTCACAACTCCAAAAAAGAAATTTAACACTTTGTGGAAAATAAGAAAATAATTTTGAATAATAGAGCTCAAAAAATGCATATGTGGCGAGTAATTGTGCATAAGTTTTAACTAATTTCGAAAGAAGTCTTAAAAGTCGTGAATTTTGATTTTAATGCTTTGCTGATTTAATTAAGCACTTCCCATAGAATTTCTTTTTGTACAAAAGCTTAAAATTGAAATTGAATATAATCTGATGGGCTTAAGCCTGTTTGTGGCATTAGGCGATTATGAAATGCAATCTCATTGTGTGTGTCTCATGTAACTGATGGACAGCCCGTCCTTAGAGCGGAGTGCAGCTAACGGTATACATAACACATAGCATAAGACAATGCACATCTTGTTGGCCATTCAATGGGAACGTTTAACGTTTTAGCCATCAGCCATGAGCCATAAGCCACAGGCCATAAGCCATAAGCCACTTCCATGTCACTCATTGAAAGGCTATCCATTATGCCACAAATGGACGGCTGTCAGTCAGAGATTGGATACAAAGGACAACACTGAGACCACCCCCAGCCCAGCCCCAAGTTGGCATGTCGCACATGTGTGTGCACACTCAACGGACGACAACTAAATAGATAGAGTCTGTGCTCGCTTTTTGGTTTGAGGACTTGCTAATTGGAACACGTCATTCGGTCTGTGCCACCGCTGGACACCTTTTTGTGTAGCCTCTGCCCATTCTGCGACACGAGCTCTTTTATGTTTTACAAAGAAGCAGAAAAGAGAGCAAAAAAATTAAAACCGTTTTAAATGCGAGCGACTATGGGAAAACACAAATCTGGGGCTTGTCACACATTTTGCATGAAGGCTTGCGCGCGCACACACACACGCGCAGATACGCACACGCATACACACACACACACACACATGCTCAACCTCATTCAGGCCCAATCCACACACAGATTCCACGCAAATATTTGCCGCTTTTGCTAAAAAAAAAAAAAAGGGAACGGAGTATCTGCGTAGTAAAAGCCGCGTATTATGGCCAGAACAACCCTTAGCGATAGGCAGCAGCAACCCTCGTGTGGCAAGCGGCAAGCGGCAAGCGGCAAGCGGCGCTGGAAAGCGACAGAGTTTGAATGAAGTTGTTTGAAAAACTGGTTTATGCGGCCACGCCAAGCTCTCCCTCTCTCTCTCTCTCTCTCTCTCTACCTCTCTTTCTCTGTTTATTTGACTCTGCCCAACTCCGCTCGCTGTTTCTGCTGCTCTGAAAGTGGCTCAAAGATACACAAAACACTTGCTGGTATTTGTATAAGTAGTGGCCGTTACTTTCCAGTGATCGCAATGATCCTGCAATGTTTACAAACTCAAAGAGAGAGTGCGTAGAAGAGTGGGCGCGTATAAGAGTGTAGAAGAGCTGCACTCAAGGCTACTCAATAAGCGCTGCAATTTGAGTGCGCGCTCGACTCTGGCTCTGCAATTGTCCTCAGGGCCGCAACACTTGCAAAAACTACAACAACAAAAACAACAACAACAACAACAATTGCAAACAATGAAGTTGCGGACCGCAGTTACCTGTGCATTTGCATTTGACAAAAGCATTTGGAACTAAGCATTGCCGCTGGCACGGAATGGCAGCCTTTGAGCGCATATACTATTAATGCACTGCAAAAAATTAGGGAGTACCAGAGTTGTATATAATATAATATAGCATATTATAAATGAGAACAATTTTGAAATAATAATAAAATCACAAAAAAAAATTAACAATTAATAATTATAGAAATTGTTTTCAAGTGAATTCAGAGTTTTAATTTGTTGATTAAAAAAATATAGCATATGTTATACTCTCAAATTAATAATAATATTTAGGTCGATTGTCTATTATTCATTTACACTGAACCAAACTTGTTATTCTATATATACATATCGTTGACATTTAAAAAGCGTCAATTGTTAACTGAAGCTATTCAGTACACTTGAAGATTTTGTTTCAACGCATTATGATATCGCAGTTGATACAAAAAACTGGATATAATAATATGCAGCTGTTGCAACCGATGACTCTTGCATTGAGCTCTCTCTGTTTTCTGCAAGTCTCTCAAATTATTTGTGCTAATGAATCATCATTAAAAACGTAAACTCTGCTGCAATAACACATTTCTTTAAGCAAGCAACACTGTAATTTCGCTCAGTGTAGCACAAATGTACAGCGGCAAACATAATTTGCGTTGCATGCGCCTAATTAAAACAAGTGCAGCAACAACAACAACAACAACAACAGCAACAACAATGCAACATCAATTACTGGGCAGGGCCCAGGCCCAAATCCCAAGCCCCAAAAATAAAACCAATTGCGAGTCACTCAAAAAAATGTAAATGCCGCCAAAAGCGGGTTTTGCACTCAAAACAAACTCAACGAAAGCAGCGAGAGCGCGAGAGAGCGCAGCAGAGACGCCAGGCTGAACGGTTGTTGTTGCTGTTGTTGCTGCTGCTGCTGCTGCTGCTGCTGCTGCTGCTGCTGAGCCGACTCAACTCAACTGAAACTGAACTCAACGCCAAGCCAAGTCTGTTTTGTTGGCGGGCTGCTCAGTGGCCAGACTTCAGTTTCGGTTTTCAGTCTGAAATTTGTTTTGAGCGTCGACGAAACGTTGCATTAGCGAAGCGGGCAGCGGTCGCAAAGCCAAGCGGGGCAACTTATAAAAAAAAAAAAAAAACAAATAAATTAATATAAAAAAAAGAGGCAAAAGCTAAACTCTGCTTTGTGCAGCAAAAGAAGCCCCGGCCTGGTTGTGTGTTATATTTTTGTGTGTTCTTCAAGTGCCTGGAAAGAAGAAGCAGCAGCAGCAGCAGCAGCAGCAAGTGAAGTGTGCATGTGTGTGTGTGTGTGTTTGAGTTTAACGTTTGTTATTGTTGTGCTCTGCTCTTGTTCATCTGGCACGAGTTGCTGCTGCACGAGCTAAAGATATAAACTGCAAGCTAGCTGCAAGTTTAGGGCCAAAACGTTTCACTAAGATATTCATTCATGTGCTCAAGATATATTTCTAAATTTTGTCACGCCCGGAATGTACACATACGATACACACACACGCACACGCACACACACACACACACACACACTTAGCGTAGCTATTAACATTTATGGGCGCTCGACGCGTAGCTCCGGCTGCTGCTACAAAAAGGTGTGGTTGTGACGGCGGCTTTAAGAGCGGAGCCACTCAAAGTCAAAGCGGCAGCTAAGAGCTACGAAACAATACACAATATGCTCAAAAAATGCGCGCGTGTGTGTGTGCGTGTGTGTGTGCGTGTAGTCGCAGTTTGTTTAGCTTCAGCATAAACATTAAGCTAAGCATAGGGCTAAAGATACAAATGTATCTAGAACGTTCAATGTCAAAGTCAGCACAAAAAGATACAAAATGCATGAGACGGCCACATTTGCAGGCGGCTAACGAGGCAGCAGTCTTTTTGGCCCAGTTGCCGCATTGTTGCACTCTGCGGCGGCGGCGGCCAAGATACATTGTCATTGTATCTGTGAGATACGCGCTGCGGCAGCTCATTGGAATATGTGCTAAGGGCTGACACGTACTTTTCGGGGGGTGAAATTGCCAGCACGGGGGCAGGACAAAAAGGCGCCAAAGTTTTCGTACATCTTGTTATTGTTGCTGCAAGATTCGGGAACGAGTGTACAGAATTTAATGGGAAGCAAAACAAAACAGAGAAGTTGCGGCACAAGAGAGCGAGACAGATGCCAAGAGCAACAGCGAGAGCGAGAGCGAGAGCGAGTGACAAGATACGAATAGGTGTAGAAAAGTTGTAAAGTGTGTGAAAAAAAAAAAAACAGAAAAAATATAAAAAAAATCTGTGCATAAGAAATAAAACAGAAACAGCGCAAAACTAACTGAAAAATGTGTGCAAGATACAAATATAAATAATAAAATAGAAGAAAATATGAAATATTAATATGAGAAGCAAAAATATTATTTTGTAATAAAAGAAAATTAAAAAAGAGCTAATTACTCAAAGAACTTTCTTTAAATGATCAAGTAAAGGCATTAAGCATTTTATATGCAAATTAAATGCTGTAAATAAAAGAAATATTTGCAAATAAAATACAAAAATTGGCAACACAACAATTAATTAATGCATAAAATATTAATTTAATCTTTAAATATATTAAGCTTGATTGAAAATGTGTGTCAAATATAAAGTATAAAAATAAATATAAAAATAAAAAAAGCATAAACAAGAAAAATAAGAATACATTTTACTAAAAAAAATCAAATAATTTAAGGAGTTTAAATTAAATATAAAAAAAAACATAAAGAATTTAACATGTTAATTTATAAAAAATAATAAATATTTTAAAAAGAAAATCTGATATGAGCTAACGCTTAAATATTAAAAATAAATTAATAGAGATTGTAAATAAAAAACAATAAATTATTTTAAATAACAAAAAGCACACACTTTACAATGAAAAATAATAATAATAAAACGTTCAGCACAGCAACAATAAATAATAATAATAATAAATATAAAAATATTAATAAGCAAATGCTTAAAATAATATTAATTCAAATATATCTACAGGCTCTCCAAGTTGGATAGTTTTGTAACCAAATCAAGCAACGAGCGAGTGCATATATATATTAAATTATTTATTTAAACTTGCGTCGCCTAACTGCACTTCATATTTGAAGTAAGCACAAATTAAAATTAATTAAACAAAAATAAGAAAACAACCCACCAAAATGTCGAAACCGGTACCAATGCCATATTCGGAAACGAACGATGATCTACACAATATACGTAAACCCAAACCCTTTCATTTCGGCAAATTTTTATACAACTCCGAGGAGGGCACGGTCATGGGACGAGATCGCGCCTCATGGGGTAAGTTCAAGGGAGTGCAAAGCATATATTAACAGGAGTATAAGGATATAGAGAATACAAATGGAGTTCAATATATATACTTGCAGTACAAGTGCTAGAGAATGAGTTCAGCTCAGCTGCAGATCCTATATAGTTTCCCATTCAAATGGGACTCCACATACATGCAAATATTAGTAATAAAAATAATTACAAACTTAATTGAAAAACCAGGCATTACAAATAGCCTTCAGCTTGATTTATATGCCAAAAGGCTGGGCTGCCGGATGTCAGAAGTCTCAGCTCTGGAATTAGACTGTCCAGCTAGTAAATGTCACTCGGAGCCAGTTAAACAAATAGACTTTATTTCATACATCACAATAAGTATAGCCCTTGACAAATCACTCATCAAGCTAATGCACTCACAAAGTATTCACCTTTTTTTTTCGAGTAGTTGCGAAACATTTCAATTATGAGAAGCGCTTGCCAGTTGATAGACTTTCAGACGTTAGAAGTACCTAAGGTAACAAGATGTTAATGCCCCAACTGACAACTATGGGAAAAGAAGTTATGGCACATAATTCTAGGGGGCAAAATTAGCGACTCTTTTGTCTCATTTTGGCAACAAGTTGAGAAAATTAGAAGTTGAAAAGGCATCTTATATATTAAAGATTTAGTTGTGCGTGGGAAAATGAAAATAATTTTGCTAAATAATATTTTTGTGCTTTACTTGAAAACAAATATTGATTTTATAAAGGCAAGAATACTTTGGAGTGCCAGAGATCTTCGCGTATTTATGATTTTTTTTTAGTTATCATTCTATTATAAATCTAACTATATAGTCAACGTATATATATTTTAAATGCCTTTTTTTTATTTTGCAAAATTTTTGAATAATTCTTTTATACTAAAAAAAACAATACTAGCGAGAGATACATATGAGACCATATTTCATATATGAAAAGTCTAAATAATTTCAGCGGGATATAATTGAATAAAATCATATTTCAAAGTATGATAAGCCCAATTGAAATATATATCTCATATATATATTATTAATTGATTTAATTAATTTAAACAAATTTTTTATTTACGAATATGTTCTTTTTTCTCTCTGTGTCAAAAAAAATATCTAAAATTAAAAACAAATATTGTTTTATTGAAAGCAAAAATCGTTCAGAATATTTGTATCTGCGCGTATTCACGAACCTTTTTTTGAATTCTGCTTTGGATTAGTCTGAACTTTGCGGCTCTAATGCCAAAAATATTAAGAGGAGACTAGCGAAATATATTTCCTACATGATAAATATATAATAAATCTAGCAAATCCCACCAAAAATATTATCATATTTCATATATGATAAAACTTATTTAAAGACTCAGCAAATCTTATTTTGATTTCAAGTGTTTAATTTAAGCATTAAACAAATCTCTTAAGAATATGTTTGTTTCTCTTTGTCTACTCGACCCAAAAACAAACTCAAGCGTCTCTCTACACGAGCTATTTACCGCTTCCGCTCTTTTAAACACTCGCTCACGCTCTCTCACTCGCACTTGCACTCGCAAACGCAGTCTCTACGGCCACTTGTTAAAGATGTTGGCCAAGTTGAGGTTATGTGCACAGCGCTGCTTGTCAATGTGTGCGTGTGCCCGATCGGCAAAGAGAGCGCAGAGCAGCTTGTATGTGCGCTCTTGAGTGACGGCACACAACGAAACTTCGCTTACGTGTCGCTGAGCAAGACGTGCAAGTCTTATACTTGGACCAACGACTTATACGCTCATGATTCACCGCGCTCTGCTGCCATTCTTATACACATCTTTTGTTTACGATTTGCTGAGTTAAAGTCTGGCGCTGAGCGACGACTCCGCGCTTCATCAATTAAGAGTTTAACCCATTGACGACTTTTGGTTTTTTAAGTGTTTAATTTAATCAGCTCAATTGAGCGCGCGACATTGCAGCTACATGAATCTTTAATAATGCTTATTTAATGGGGGCCTGTTCAATCTAATTTGGAATCGTAATCTAATAATGCCCTTTTGCTTTCAGCCAAGATCGGCATCTTCTATATAATCTTCTACGGCGTGCTCGCCGCCCTGGTGGCCATATGCATGTGGGCCTTCTTTCAAACTCTGGATCCACGCATACCCAAATGGACATTGGACAGCTCGATCATTGGCACGAATCCAGGTATAACTAACTATAAACTATAATCGAAGTTGTAATTTACATTCATAATTTCCAACCAGGTCTTGGATTCCGCCCACTGCCGCCCGTTGACAATGTGGAGAGCACATTGATCTGGTACAAGGGCACGCAGCACGAGAACTACAAGCATTGGACGGATTCTCTGGACGAGTTCCTGGCTGGTAAGTATCTATAGCTGGTGTAAAAGTCTTTCAGCCGACATCCCTAGGCAATTGGCCAATTGCGTGTTTCTAGTTCATGTTCGAAATGTCCTTGAACTGATTTCTTTTTTATTGCGCGCATTGTTGTTGCTAGGGTCTACTTAATTGGGTCGCTTTACAACACGCAAACTGTTTTGCATTTATTTTAATTAGAATAAAATATTATAGATTTTTTGTGGTGGGCTTTCAAATCGGGGTCGTAACTAGGCTGAGCACATATCGAAATAATAAATAGTTGAGCGGAATACAAGGCTAAGTAAACTTTAAGGAACTGCAATTCCAGAGATTAAAAATAAGGAAAACATTTACAAAATCTTCTTTAATCAATACCAAAAGATGTGAAGAGCTAAAGAACATAAGAGTTCAATTTTCAATCTTGAGAAAAACTCAAGCAGATTATCAGAAAGAAATAACAGATATACCGGACAGATAAATGGATAATAACTAAATAAAAGACCAGTATAATATTGTAAAAATTGAAAGTTCAATACTCACGTTTGACATTTGTTTCCCATAGTGTACAAAGTGCCCGGCTTGACACCGGGCCGTGGTCAGAACATCTACAACTGTGACTACAACCAGCCCCCGCCGAAGGGTCAGGTGTGCGATGTGGACATTAAGGCCTGGTCGCCGTGCACCAAGGAGAACAATTACAGCTACCACAAGAGTTCGCCGTGCATTTTCCTCAAGCTGAACAAGATCTACGACTGGCTGCCAGAGTTCTACAATAGCTCACAAAATTTGCCAGGCAATATGCCCGAAAACCTGAAGACCTACATAGGGCATGTGGAGAAGACCGAGCCGCACAAGGTGAGACGGCAAATTGAATAACGATGCATTAGAAATAATATTGAGAAATGAATGAATGAAATGAACTTAAACATAATTTTGCTATTTGGAATACAGCTGAACACCATTTGGGTGTCCTGCGAGGGCGAGAATCCTGCCGATCAGGAGAACATTGGCCCCGTCAACTATTTGCCGATACGCGGCTTCCCCGGCTATTTCTATCCCTATCAGAACTCCGAGGGCTATCTGAGTCCCCTCGTCGCGGTGCACTTCCAGCGCCCCAAGCGTGAGTACAGCGCACATATCTTTCGATATATCTGATATATATATATTCCATTGATGCCCAACAGGCGGCATTATCATCAACGTGGAGTGCAAGGCCTGGGCACGCAACATTGGGCACGATCGCAAGGAAAGAATTGGATCCGTGCACTACGAGCTATTGATTGATTAGGCTGCACGTTGAATGAAACTCAAGCAGATGAGAAATCAATCAATTAAAGGACGCTCCTTTGTCTTGTGTAGAGCGAAAAATGAGAAAAATCAACACCAAAATGCAGTTTTTTCCTAAGAAATACTATTAAATAACAGACCATAAATTATATACAAGAAAAAAGACACCGACAACAAACATTTTTGGATACAAAACAAATTTTTGAATGTAGCTTCTTCTTATACAAAATACGATTTAAAACGGATTATATATATATCTTTATATATATATAGCAAGAATGTAGTCTAGCGCCTAAGAGGATTTCTTTAAATTACGAGCGATTTTTGCATTAAATATAAAAAAAGACAAACAAACAAACAAATTATATTATTAAATTGAAATTATAATAATTTAAAATTAATTATAATAATGCTGAATGCCGTTTTGTGAAATGAAAACTCGATAGTTGAAAGCTGAAAGAAGCAAACCCTAAACTTTAAAAGCTAGCCAAGTACGAATCTCATTTAGCGCTGTTCCAAAATGAAACGACACAAATTTACAAATGTTTATTGCTTATTTTCAATTACAAAGCTAAACTGCCACCACAATCACGCATTAGTTAACAACAATTGAAAGTTAACAATAATATAGAGAAAAACCTTTTGACCAAAAAATGAAAGAGAAACTTTGTACGAACTAAAGCTGCAGCTGACCAATTTCGTAGCCAAATACCAATTTTTATTAACCAAACAATTTTGCAACTAGTTTGTAGCATAAATTAAAAAACGTTTCTCCAATTTAACCTAAACAATCTTATATACAAAACAAACCTTATACACACGGCAAACTATATAAAATGTTTTACATATTTACAAACTATTCATATAAATCTAACCCGCAAGTCAAAGTGAAATGTTTAACAATCAAATGCGAGATCAACAAACACAAATTTGCAGCGTTTAGTTATTAAGTTTATTAATGTTAAATCAAATCAAACAAACAATAAAAATGAAAACTGAATAAAAATAACAACAAAATCAAATAAAACAGCAGCTAAGGCTAAACGAATTCATTTCAAGCTGTTCTCAATAAAAATGGGCGATACAAAAAAATAAATAAATTCTTTAAATCTTATTTTTAATAAAATGCCTAAGAAATTAGAATGCAAATTAATTAATTTATTTATTTAAGTAGCACGCACATGTGCTTAGCAACGAGCTTTTCACAGAGCATAGCAACCAGCTTTTGTATGAGAAGCGTATTTGGGAACAGAATACTTTAGAATTTAAGATCTTTTATAAATAAATTTAATTACAATATGAAAGGGACATAGCATAGCAACAAGCTTTTGTATGAGAAGCATATTTGGGAACAGAATAGTTAAAAATTTAAGATCTTTTATAATTAAATTCAATAACAATATGAAAGGGACATAGCAGCCAGCTTTTGTATGAGACGCATATTTGGGAACAGAATACATAAGAATTTAAGATGTTTTATGAATAATTTTAATAACAATATGAAAGGGACATAGCATAGCAACAAACTTTTGTATGAGAGAGCTTTAAATTTTTATTTATTTAAGATCCTAAATATTATGGATATACCCAATGAACTCCATCGAAAACAGCCTTTATAAGGGAAAATGGAATAGGGTTTAAAGAGCTAAGTCTATTTTAAAAAATTAAGGATCAGACTGATCTTCTGCTTAACAAACCCAAAAAACAGTTGAAGTAAATTGGGAAAGCGGAAAAATGTTTAGCCGCGCAATATTTGGCGATAAAAAGCTTCAACTTACGAAAGGGATTTAATTAACAATATAAAATTGTAAGCAATTCTCTAGGCTTGTCGAAAAAGTATTTAACTAAATCTGCTCGTCAGTTGATATCTGCCATGATTGTGGTTGGGCAGAGGGCGCACTCATAGTTATATATTTTGTCATATGCCGTTATTTGAGTTATATAAAAATAATAATTGCTGTCGCAATGTTGCGTAGCCACATGCTGGCTAGATAAGATAGGAAGTACGACAATGCCCGTAGCACTCGTAACCCAGATAATAATCAGAAATCTGTTCAGTCTTTTGCCTTTGGTCAGCCGCGTGGACAAAGTAAGATCGATATATATATATATGTATGTATGTATGTATGGACATAGTGTTTATATATTTTCATGTACTTTATAGATATCTTATCTGACAACTTGGTCAATTGCGTCATTGCAGCTCATTAATAGAAATCTCGCCGTTTACTCATGATATGTTATTTATTTTTTAATGACTTGTCGACGGGTTTTCAGCCCAGAGAGGGTTGTCACCCTGTCTGCAGGTTTTTTTTATAGGGTATGCGCTAGTCGTATACGCTCAACAATAATTCCCAATTTTATTTTAATATTTTTATTTAAGACATTATATCGAAACAAGCCATAAAACTATTTCAGCTTTTATGCATCGATCTGAACGGAAGATCAAACAGAGTTGAGGCACGACTTGACTCGGCTGCGGCTCTTGGAGATTGGCCGCTGCCCAAAGTCAACATTAAGGTGTTAAAATTCGAGCAGGTGAGCCAAATTGTGGCTCTAAAGCACTTCAAGTGCTTCACTCATGCTAACAGGTTATTTCTGGAATCAAGGCAAACAATATTTGTTGTCTGATATTGGTGTTAGGAGAAGCATTCGATGAAATTAATATTGCGCCGATAAACGACAACATGAGTGCCTAGAGTTAGTGCACTACATCAAATAATACACAATCATAGGACTATATATAATATATTTCTTGAGTAGAAGACGAAAGTTTTTATGACTTATGTAACTCCATTTTAATAGAAGAACTGTGATCATGAACAGAGAATCAATGTTCGAAGTACTGTCTATCGAAATAGTTGAATACCATAAGCCGTTCAAGTTTACTTGAATTTATCGATAACTATCGATTTTCAGTTTTAATATTTATACTATTTCAAAAGGAGAACCGTCTAATACGGCTATAGATTAGTGTATAGGAGGCACAGATCAAGAATATATCTCGTTCTGCGAATCTTCTCCTCATGCATAACATTATTTTACTCAACATCGATAAATATCGATTTTCCTGTTTGATTTGATTAATATAAGGAATAAGAGATATTATTTTCGAATGGTTGTCCATTAATTGGTTAAAAATCACATGCAGTTTGCGTTTTTTTCAAATTTATCGATATCTCGTTTTGCAAATCTTCCCCTGTTCCATAGCATTATTTTACTCAACATCGATAAATATCGATTTATGGGTTTCATTTTTCTTAAATTTCTAGAAGATTTTCGAAATTAGAACCACCAAATTCGCCATACTGGTTCAAATTGAATCGCCAAGCGATTTAAACGAACAATATAATATGAATAATAGCACGAATATAAAATATCACGAAATATGCAATTTAATAACAGAGTATGTGATTGATCTGATATCTCTTTCAACTATAGCTATTATTATCAGACTTGGGCAGACTTGACGCTGTCGACTAATTGAGAGCTAATTAGCTGAAACCCAGACGCTTGGCTGACTGCAAATCAGCAAAGTACACAACATACGAAACGGCAAACAATTACTTTTAAACAGGAAAAAAATCAAAACTTCGCTTAATGAGGAAGCGTCCCGCTCGCCAGATCCATCGATAGATGCGCTGTACTGGAAAAATCACACACATTTCGGTTCGAACAGGATAAACTGGTTTCGCTAGATATCACAGAAACCCAGGCAACTGAACTCCCCCTCCGAGTATTCCGAGTAGCCCTGTGCCTTTGTGTTTTATGATTTGCTTAAGTCCAACTTGAATTCAAGCTAAAGCTGAGCCCCAACAAGGGAACTCTTTCATGTGTCGCCTTCGCACCAAAAAGATTATATATATATATATATATATATATATATATATATATATATATATAAGTGTGTAGTTGGTTAACACGAGCCGGTTTTAACCGACTTCAGTTTCAATTGAGCTCTGAGCAGTTCCTTTGCCTGTCAGTTAAATTCCATTAATCCATCACAAGTAAACGCATTCTGAATCTGATCTTTTCTTATCGTTTAGCCTAATGCTGCATTTTAATCTATTTAAATGCTATTCTAGATACTTTTGAACTTAAACTAAAGTTTTGCTTATTTTTTTAATTAAAGCTGTTGACCTAAAATCTTTCCTAAGATTCTGACAGTTTTTAAGCTTTTGCGTCTTTCTGTAGTTCTCTAATTTATGCATAACCAGAAGATGTTTCTTTTGTTAATAAACAGAAAATTATCCTCTGCTTTAACCTATTTTTGTTTATTTAATATTATTTATTGGTTTACATAATAATATAAACATATATAAAATAATAATAATAATAATAATAATAATAATAATACTAATAATAATAATAATGATAATAATAATAATAATAATAAAAAAAAATAATAATAGTAATAATAATAATAATAATAATAATAATAATAATAATAAAAATAATAAAAATAATTATTATTTTTAAAATTAATGAGAATAATAATAATAAATTAAAGCATAAAATAATAAGCATAAAAAAGCACATTTAAGTAAATAGTTTTAATTTAAAATTTATTTATTCCCTCCCCTAAGTGCGTACTGAGAAGAAAAATGTTATAAATTCATCAAAATAAATGAAATTAAAATATGTTCTCTCCACACACAATACCCAACACACAAAATACCCCATTTCAGTCAACTCTGCCAACGCATTCGGTTTTATCTAATCAGCAGATTATAAGAACGGGCCGTTTATGGCCACGTTTATATGGTACATGCATGAGGCCCAAATAAAACTGACGACTGGATGTCTTAGCTGGGCCCAGATGAATTCCTAAGCGGCTAATGAGATGCTCGACAACAGTGACTGGGCGGAATAAGCGGCGGCGTTGTCAAGTATAATTTAATAAATTTATGATGATTACAACAATGAAGCGCACAGATTGAAAGACTGCAGCGTACACCCCACAAAGGCGACAAGATTGAAAGACTGCCATGGTGCTCAGCTTCTCTATAGTGTAGGGTATGGGGCGGGGGTCAATGCTGGAACTTATTTGCAATGGCAACGCGCTCGAGTTGAACTCGAGTTGAACTCGAGTTGCGCTCGGAAATGCTCGCTAATGCGAATTAATAATGTAAAATTGCTGCGACACTTGACAACGGCTTTTAGCTCGATGACTAATGCAAAAGCCCTTGATGAAAAAACAGTAACAAGAAACGTTTTTTTCAGTTTCGCCCTTAAATTCACTTATTTCAGCAAACCACCGCAAAGCAAGCACAAAAGCTTACACACATGTATACAAAACACGAAAATGCAACCCAAAAAAAAAAAAGGTGTTGTGATGCACAAACATAAAAACAGTACACAAAACATAATGTTGGCGCTCCCATGAACGAATACACACACACACGCACTCACGCATTAAAACAAAGATAGAAATCTAGCTGTGGGAGAGTTAGAGCGAGTAGCCGAACATACAAAAGCCAATGTACTCTCAGTCCTTGTCGCTGTATTAGTGTGCATTAGAGAGTGGGAGAGTGCACAAAGAGAGCACATTGAGTTGAATATGTGTGCGTTCGTCATTGCTGCTTTGTGCTTTATTTTAATACATATTAATAAAGCAACAGTTATGCATTAGAAAAAAGCCACAAGGCGTAGCTAAAACTGTGCGGGTTGGGCCGCTGCCTCAATAATTAAAGCAAATGAACATATGTTTATAAAACAATTTAGCTATAAGAATTTATAAGGCTGCATTAGTAAGTTGGCACTGAAATTCATTCGCAGTTGGGATAGTTTTCATTTATAATATTACATGTTATATTGTGCATATATTTTATTTATGGTTTATTAGCTGAGAAAGTCTTTCACCGCAGCGCTCCTGTGATTCACCCTCAACCGTTGCTGTCTGGCCACTGTCTGCAGTCTATCAGCCGTTCTATTTGCGTAGCCACAGTGCAGTGGGCAGAGAGCGCGAGAGCGAGCGAGAGCAGGAGCATTGCTCGCACCTTACAAGAAGCGCTACCAACAGCAACAATAAACACAACAACATTGAACCTAACGATGACGCTCGAAAAGCGCCCACCCACTGCCCGAGCAGCG